AAAAAAAGAAAGAAAGAAAGAAAAAACACTCTCCCCCCCCAAAAAAACCACTACATACTGAGCAGACAGAACTTTGTGATTCTAGGTAGCGAAATATGTCGGCTACGTTCTCGAAAAGTTCAAGTGGCTGAGCTGGTAGCTTCAGAACTGACCTGTAGGCCTACTGTGTTCGCGGCTGCTCAGTTTCGTTGATGCTTGTATTGTATTTATGTTGGTAGACATTTTAGGCCCCCATCAACACAATTTACATCGTAGGCATAGAGGGGATGGGCTGCTTCCACACCGCCTGTTGTCAGGGCCAGCCTGGGCTAAGAGTATTCAGGGACACAACATCCCAGCAGACAGCTGGATATACTCGATAAAAATTCTCCCCACGTAGGAATTGAACTTGGGTCTTCTGTGTGTGACGGCAAATCGTCTAACTACTACACCACAGACGCCGGTAGAATCGTCAGTCCACCAAAATGGATTTCTAACTTTTAAAGCCTTTCAAATCATTTTACTTAATATTTCTTTTAAAGCCTACACATTGTTTGTCGTCGAGTAAAATGTAGCACATCAACACGATAACAACAATAACGGTCATTAGCTGCATGGGAAAAGATAGACTGACAAAAAACAACAGAGGTAAAATATTTAAAAAAGTAGAACCTACCAGTGGCGCCTTCCAACCACTCACACAGACAGACAGACAGACAGACAGACAGACAGACAGACAGACAGACAGACAGACAGACAGACAGACAGACAGACAGACAGAAACAACAGAGGGAAAAAAAGAAGTAGAACTTACCAGTGGCGCCCTCCAACCACTCACACAGACAGACAGACAGACAGAAACAACAGAAGGACAAAAAGAAGTAGGACCCACCAGAAGCACCCTCCAACCACCCACATAAACTCACTTTTCAACAAAAGCAAACAACAAAGGAATAGAATATAGGGAACCATTTATTCGCTGCACAAGGCGATGAGTGGTACAGGTAGGAACTTGCATGTACCTAGATGTGGTTAAAAAAAACAAGACAAAAACAACAACATAAATAAAAATAAATAATTTTTAAAAGTGACTTTGGAACCATTGATTGATATCAAACTTCGAAGCGTAATTTCTTTATGTTCATGTCAGAGTTTGAGTCTGGGTGAAGAGAAGCCCATGGACACAATACCGGTCGTATAGTGCAGGGGGAAAGTACATCAGACAGACAGAGAGAAACACAAGAGAGAAAGAAAAGAAGCAGGACCAGCAAATGGCACCCTCCAACCACCCACATCATTCTAGAAAAAAAAACGTCACTTCCTTCCTACAAACCCAACAAGAGCCTGTGATGTGAAGGACAGCAGCAGCGGCTACAGGCCGTGATGACAGGAAGCCTCAGTTAGAAGCTCTCCCTTCTCACAAGGACATCAACAAACCTACTTTAGTTATAGTACGGAGTCTTACCACATTTGCTTTGCCACAGAAATAGGGTATCTAAGTGCCCAAGATTACAGGTGTTACAAGAGAGTAACACACATGGACACAAAAAGAATGTGTTCCTAAAATTTAAAAGAAAAAAAAAAGGGGGGGGGGGGGGCGGAGAGAGATGAGGAGGATAGACGTATGATAAGAAAGAAAGAGTAAACTACACCAGAGCACCTGCCAACCACCCACAAAGAAAACATCTGACCTAGCTTTGACCTTCACTCACGTCATGAGAACTCGCGATGGTGTGTAGTGCGCCAGAACAGTTCAGAAAGTAAAGTTACATTACATTCATTGCACCTAAATTATCCAGATGACAAAACTCCTCTTTTGTCCAATGTTCAACAATAAACACATCAATATAATATAGAAGATTTTTTAACGACATTTTGTATACGGTACAGGTCACATTGGCATAGAACAATCTGCGAGCTCGGAGCGGAGAGAAGAACAAAATAATCGTGGCAAGACAAGGAAACATCGGTATACACATTCAGCAAACACCGGTACAAATGACCATGACACACATTCACCTAACACCGGTACAAATGACCATGACACACATTCACCTAACACCGGTACAAATGACCATGACACACATTCACCTAACACCTGTACAAATACAAAAGACCATCATACACAATTAACTGATACCTGTACAAAAGACCATCATACACAATTAACAGACACCGGTACAAATGACCATCACACACATTTAGCTAACACCTGTACAAATGACCATCATACACAATTAACAGACACCGGTACAAATGACCATCAACCATCACACATAATTAACCGCCACGTATAAAAATGACCATCAACCATCACACATAATTAACCGACACACATAAAAATGACCATCATACACATTCAGCTAACACTGGTACAAATGACCATCACACACATTCAGGTAACACCTGTACAAATGACCATCAACCATCACACACATTCAGCTAACACCTGTACAAATGACCATCAACTGTCACATACAATTAACCGACACGTATAAAAAAGACGGTCACACACATTCAGCTAACACCTGTACAAATGACCATCAACCATCACACACATTCAGCTAACACCTGTACAAATGACCATCAACTGTCACATACAATTAACCGACACGTATAAAAAAGACGGTCACACACATTCAGCTAACACCTGTACAAATGACCATCAACCATCACACACATTCAGCTAACACCTGTACAAATGACCATCAACTGTCACATACAATTAACCGACACGTATAAAAAAGACGGTCACACACATTCAGCTAACACCTGTACAAATGACCATCAACCATCACACACATTCAGCTAACACCTGTACAAATGACCATCAACTGTCACATACAATTAACCGACACGTATAAAAAAGACGGTCACACACATTCAGCTAACACCAGTACAAATGACAATCGCACGCATTCAATTAATACCTGTACACAAATGACCATCCGCTACACGTAATAGACACAAAGCAGGCAGTCAAAAACACAGGCGTGTTACATCAGCAGAGGTACACACACACACACACACCGCACTGACTGTCAATCTATCAGAGTTGTTCCACACACACAATTTAGTTTTACAGTTTTAGTTTTAGCAAGAGTTTTACGGCACTTTCAACACAATAAGGTCATACGAGTGCCAAAGATTAGAGATGTCACAAGAGAGAAACAAACACAAAAAAGAAGGAGGGGAGGCAAAGACGAGAGTTGTCTGATAGGAAAGAAGGAGCAAACCACACCAGAGCACCCACCAACCACCCACTCCACACACACAGTTGACACATACATATCACATGCAAACAAATTTTCAACCAATCTATCATGGTATAGATGGTCTAGTTGTTAGACTGTTGGGCTTGCTACTGAAAGAGATCAAGGGTTGGAACCCCATCAGGGGCCCGAAGTTGTGTCTTTGTGAAAGACACTATACACTATACACAAATATTCCTCACTTCACCCAGTCGGGAATGAGTTCCCGGCTATGGGCAGCAAAAGATCTTGTCGGTCTGTTTGCTTTTAGAGTGCTTAATCAAATGCTTGCACTGTATGCTTCTCAGGAAGCCGAGAATGTTTGTAACGGTTTTAGGGTCTGCTGGGGTAATAATAGTTATAAAAAGCACACTGTAGAAAATGAATATATTATTATGTGTTATGTAAATGCAAATACATTTGTTTATTGTAATTCAGGCCCCCTAGGGTTCACTTTAAGCAGACAATAGTTTTTAAAGGTGTACTTTTATTTTGGGTTAGACGGGGTGGGAATTTTTTTGGTCGTTTTTTGCGGGGTCACGTCGACATTGTGAAGTGGAAATAACTCACAGGGAAAGTGGGAATAACCTGGTGGGAAGAGAATATTCTCCGACTGATTTGACAAAACGGCCACATCAAAAGTTTGGAATCAAACTTATAAAGACTGAGCAAACAAAAATTTGCGATGTTTTAAGTACATCTAGATCTAATAGAAGTTCAAAACAATAAGGGAAAAACGTTTTTTTTTCCCACAAACATAAACTAAATAGTAGACTGAGATTTTGCTTGTTAGTATTGTTACTGCTAAGTCAACAAGGAGGGAGAAAAAAGTAACGGACAGGTGGCATTTTGACAGAACACACAACTCATCACAAACATGTACCAACTGAGTTGAGAGTTTGAGCAAAGAGAAGAACATTGACACAAGAAAAGTTTGTCTGTGCTGAAGACAGACAGACAGACAGACAGACAGACAGACAGACAGACAGACAGACAGACAGACCGACAGACAGACAGGCAGACAGACAGACAGACAGACAGACCGACAGAAACAACAGAGTAAAGAAGTACACAGGACCTACCAGTGGAACCCTCCACCCGTCCACTGTACCTGCAAACCTAAAACAACAGTTGGAGATAAAGATTGGAAAAGCAGTACGTTCAAGTAAAGAAATATTACAAAATACATTTTGTGTATGGTAGGAAAAAAAAAAATCAACTTTATCCCCAAATTTTCTGACACTGTGATTTAAAATATCATGTTAGCGTGCTGCTCCATTTCTATCTAAATGTAGTTTATATTTTGAACTCCTGGTATTTCTTTATCCTTAAAGTCAAAGTACATATGATCTACAGCAACAAAATCAGGTTTTAAAAAAAAGGATTTTTTCCGAAAGTCTGCAGAATCCTGCACAGGAAACAAGATACGTGTATCTTTATTGAAGAAACATCTCATGATCTGGGCGGGAAATTTTGTTTTAGTAGAGGTTTTACGGCGCTCGCAACTGCATAAGTTCATTTGAGCGCCAGAAGATTAGATAGTTTTGTTTTAGTTTTATTAAGAGTTTTTCGGCACTTGCAACACAATAAGGTCATATAAGTGCCGAAGATTAGAGGAGTCACAAGGGAGTAACAAACACAAAATTGAAGGAGGGGAGATAAAGACGATAGATGTTTGATAAGAAAGCAGGAGCAAGCCACACCAGAGCACCCATCGACCACCCACTGGGCGGGAAAGAAGGAGAGATTATGACCATAAATGTTCTATAGAAAGACCATAAATGTTCTATAGAAAAGAAGATTAAAAACCACATCACAGCACCTGCCAACCACAAATACAAATAATCAAAATACTAACTAATATGTAAAGGTTGGGGGGGGGTGAGGGTGGGGGTAAGCGCTAAAAGCAAAAACTGTTTGTCTCTGAGACACAGGAAGCACCCTCACTTCATGACGCCCGGGCCAACAAACATTGGGACAACTTAGAGATCTCCGAAGCACAAGTAGTCAACGCTATTCCACAAACACCAGTCTTTTGTTGAAAGTTTTGAGATAGAGAAAAAGAAAATTCCCAAACCAGAACCATGACGCGCCCACTTATTATTTTTTCAACAGAAAAAATCTAGGACGAAATTAAATGAAACAGAACAGAACTCTGTTGTGAGCTTCCCCTCGACATTTTTGTTCTAGTTCGAGTAAACAGAAGCCCATCGACACAACGACGTTTAGTTTGAGTAAGGTTTTTGTTTTCCTTTTTTTAGTGTAAGGTTTTACGCCACTAGCAACTGCATAAGGTCATTTGAGTACCAAGCTGTGGATGTCAACAGAGAAGTCCTTACAGGGAATCAGACTTACTCTGCTCACCTCTCTAGCCTCAACAGCACAAAGTCGACTATCAAGGCACCCCGGAAATAGCAGGTCACAAGAGAGTGACAAACATAAAACAGTAAAGGAAAATGACGATAGTAAGAATGAGGAAAGAAAAAGCAGCAGTTCCCCTTATGTTGTTCCGGCACAGTATGAGCATGACATTGATAAATCAGCCCATTTACAATTCGACAGTGCATAAGGACATGTTAATACCCCCTTTTTGGGAACAGCCCAAAGACAACTTCAGTCAGTGGCACAGCCCTGGTGGGGGAAAGACAGGCAGACACAACAGAGGGAAAGAAAAGAAGAAGGACCTGCTATATGTTCCTCCAACCATCCATGAAGCCTTTATTCAAAGATCGTTTTTTGATCTCAAAACTTCAAGACATAGAGAAAATTAATCAATTATGTATTTATGTATGTATGTTTGCCATTGTAAAACAAAGTGCCCTTCTGGGACAAATAAAAGTGTAATTTATTATTATTATTATTATTAAAGCAATTGTGGAATATCGTTGACTACACAGATTCCTGGAGTTTGGTTCCTCTATTGGAGTTGGCTTCGTTTTTCTCCAGTAATGCAGAAAAGCACAGGCTAAATCAGTGTTGACAGGTAACTTCCAGGCACTCCAAGCAATAAAAGAAATAAACGCTAAAAATGACTTTTAAAAACATATAAATTAAAAAGCTAAAATCGCGTATGGTTTACAGTCCCAATGGTACCGCACGTTCAAAAAGCATGTTATTTGTAAGAACACTAATACATGACTATATTATGACTAGCTTTAAGGTTTTTTTTGTTCCAGTCAAAGTCTATCAGTCTGTCAGCACTCGCAACACAAATAAGTCTTATAAATGTCAAAGATTAGAGAGAGGTGTTACTAGAGAGTCCCATAGAGACAAAAAAAGGCGGAGACATAAAGACAACAAATGTTTGAGTTTGATAAGGAAGGAGGAGCAAACCACACTACAGCACCCGCCAACCACCCACAAAGTAACCTCCACGCAATTAAAAAATGAACAGTGCCATGACTTTAAAAAAAACAAAATAAAAAGCTAAAATCACGTATGGTTTCCAGTCACAATGGAACTGTACGTTCCAAAAGCATTTTGTAATACATGACAACGTTCAGAAAGCATTTTGTAATACGTGACTAGCGTTGTGTTGCACAGGGTACAAATGATGTGTCACAGAAATACGTATAGTTTAAGGCAAGGCGTGTGACCGTGCCATGAGCTGAGGTAAGACTAACTCACGCAGGGAACATAGCCACACAAAGAATTTTGTTTTAATAAGTGTTTTACACCACTTGCAACACAATAAGGCATATAAGTGCCGAATATTAGAGGTGTTACAAGAGAGTAACAAACACACAAAAAAAAGGAGAGATAAGGACGATAGATGTTTGATAGGAAAGAAGGAGCAAACCACACCAGAGCACCCGCCAAGATGCTCACAAACAATCAAAAGACTTCTACAGAGATGTTAAAAAAGCAAAAGTGCCTGGCACTACAGAGAAACAAAACCGCTTCCGAATTTGTCAAAGACTACCACAGTTGTCAAGGGGAAAAATAATATGGTCATCTTAAACAGATAGTCCTCTTGAGCAGTGCCATTATAAGGTGGAAAAAAACACAAGGGGGGGGGGTAAGAGGGTAGGGGGGAGTGGTTGTTTGTACAGGTGGCTGTCTTGTCGGACAGGTGGACACACACTAGAGCAGCAGGTATGATCATGACTGAACTATTGTGAACTAAACAGATCAAGCAACGTCGGGTTGGTTTTAGTTTTAGTAAGTGTTTTACAGCACTTGCAACACAATAAGGTCATATATAAGTGCCGAAGATTAGAGGTGTTACAAGAGAGAAACAAACAAAAAAGAAGGAGGGGAGATGAGGATGATAGGTGTTTGATAGGAAAGAAGGAGCAAACCACCCCAGAGCACTCGCCAACCACCCAACAAAACGTCTGGATATGACGACACATTCATAACCACACAACCACATTGTCATCTCGCTGAGATTCAAACTTCAAACGCTCTGTCAAGCAAGAAAAGTGAATACAAATTAAATTTTTTTTTTAAAAAGCAACTTCAGAATGAAGGGACGGAGATATTGCTTCGACTGATTGATAAACAGAAAAGGAAGATTTGTGTCACGACACGGTGGAATCAGGCGCTCGGCAATTATCGGGCGTTCGGAGTTATTGGTATGATTTTAAAGCTTGTTCATTTGTCTTTCTTTCAATGTAAAAGAAAAAATACCCATCTACCTTGAATAGAAATAAAATATTTGCTATTGGATGAGATGGGGTTGCCGGTTGGATGGGCAATGAGTCGCTATAGCAAAATCCGGATACTATGTTAGTGCGCCTCTTCGGCAAATAATATGATATGAAGCGGTTAGGCAAATGGGTTAGAACCACTTCGACAAACGGGTTAGCACTACTTCAACAAATGGGTGCACCCACTTAGGCAAGCGGGCCAGGAAAGAGAGTTAAGAGTCTGAATTCGGATAATGTTTCATTGAGAATTATCCGGTTATCCTTGTAGTTTATCCGGATTTTGCCCACCTCTAGTTGCCGGTTGTCAGAGGTAAAATTAGCGAGGAAATGACCGCTAAAGTTTGGTGACTTCCAAAGCTTGGGTGTCCTTGAATATATGGCAAATTTACATTTTTTGTGCCTTTGGTCAACGTTTTTCATTAAAATCCACACAGAGATATGTTTTAGTTTAGTTTTAGTAGAGGTTTTACAGCGCTCGCAACTGCATAAGGTCATAGAAGCGCCAGAAGACTAGAGGTGTTACAAGAGAGTGGTGCATAATGTCAAGCTCGGTAAAACGAACAACATTTTGAAATCAGAATCTTCGCCACAGTTTAGTGGATTGAGTTTTAGGTTTAGTACGAGTTTTGCGGCACTTACAAGACAACTAGGTCATACACCTGCTGCTATCCGCACTTATATGAATATGACCTGATTGTCTTGCAAGTGCCGTAAAACTCTAACTAAAATATAAAAAAATACACCTGCTGGAGATTAAAGGTGTCTTCTGGAGAGTAACATACAAAGAAATGAAGGAGGACAATAGATGTTCGATAGAAAAGAAGGAGGCAAACCACACCAGAGTGCCCGCCAACCACCCACACAGTGGATACAGTGGATCAAAACACACAAGAGAAAAAAGATAAAAATAAAGACAGCACACAACACAAGCATTATATTATTATGACAAATGCAAATGAAACGCAATTAAAAACTGTCTAGTAAATTGCTACCGTAAAAAAAAAGTAGAAAAACTATACTGATTTCTATTCATAAAATCTGTAATCTACACTGAAATTACATGAGGGCAAAAAAAATTTTTTTTTTAAGAAAAATAAATTTAAAAAAAAAGAAAAATAAATTTTTTTTAAAAGAAAAATAAATTTCTAAAAAGCAAATAATCTGGTCACATTTGCACACTGACCTCATTAAATGCAGTTTTCAATGTTAAATTATCTACATAACAAAGCAACAGTTCAGTGAAAGTCGTAACAAGTATACATTCAATGCTGGAAATGTCGTTCTAACAACAACTTATTTCATCTCCGCACCTATTTTCTCAACCAACGCACTTTCCCACCTCCTACATCATCTAAATATGTGTCACGACGCGGTAGAATCAGGCGCTCGTCAATTTTTGGGTATATGGAGTCATTGGTAACATCTTAAAGCTTGTTCATTTGTCTTGCATCAGGCACAAAAATCATCGATCTCTCTTGAATAGAAGTGGAAATATTTGCGATTGGAGAAGATGGGGTAGCCTAGTTTCAGCGGTCAAATTGATGAAAAAATGGCCACCAAAGTTTGATAATTTCAATAGCTTAAGAGTCCTTGAAATCGGAAAATTACATATTTTATGCCTTTAAACAAGGTTATTCAGTCAAATTAACATGAAAATGGGTCTTCATATAAACATAAAAGGTACGTGTTTAGGTAAACAACAAAATTTCTATAAATATTGCCATACTGGTGGGAAAATGCCTTTTTCTTTGATTTCATTATTTTCACGAGCGCCTCATTTCACCATGATGCCTCACATAATGTAGTGTCCAGGAGGGGCATTCAACTTCTACAAGTACATTTTTACAGTATTTGTCAAGAAAATCTTGATTGAACAAAACTGGGGACAGAACCTTGCTCTCCCTTCCCCCTTCCCCCCCTCCCCCTCCCTAACCGTTGAGTAAAGAACTTGTCCATACCCGACACTTCTCTAAGACCTGACTCTCACACGATTATCTCACTGATTTTCACATTGGCGATGACTTCTCAAACTGAAAAATATACATTTTTAAAATATGAAAGTGTTTTTACAAACAATTTAGAAGGCGGGCTTCCAATCCTGCCTGTCGGGGCCAACCCCGGCTGAGAGGGACACAACACGCCAGCAAAAAGACCAAAATTATAAAAATTCTCTCCACTCAAGAATCAAACTCTGGTCCTTTGAGTGTGACAGCAAAGTGCTTACAGTCTCAAAAGGTTTACTGAGTTATCACGACCATAAACTGGCAAGATCGACAACATACATTCAACGTAACTCATCTTGAAATGAGCTGCCAATATCAGTAGAAAAATAGGTCACAGACAGCATCTCTCGAGGAATGTCTTCGTTCTTTGTCACCGGCACACACCCAGCAGGGAAAAGTGAGGAAAACAATTGACACAAAATGTGATCAGAGAGGCCGACAAACAACTGACTCGGTCTTTAGTTTAGTTCTCGTTAGAGTTTTACGGCACTTGCAACACAAATAGGTCATATGATAAGATGAGATGTGTTACTGGAGAGACAAAAATATGTCATATGATAAGATTAGATGTGTTACTGGAGAGACAAATAGGTCATATGATAAGATTAGATGTGTTACTGGAGAGTCACATGCAAAGAAAAGACAGAGGAGAGATGAGGACAATAGATGCTTGATAGGAAATAAGGAGCAAACAACACTAAAGCACCCGCCAACCACCCACTACCTTGGTTGGTCTGTGGTGACACATTCAGCTAGACAACCAATCACTTTGACAACTGGCGGCTATTTCATTTTTTCTCACCTTGAATTTTTATAATTCACGAAAAGCCGAGAACATATCTGAGTATTCTATGATCTGCTGAGGTAATAACTGTTGTAAAATGCATGAAGCGCGCGTTTTTCATGCATATATTTGCTATATAAATGCATTCATTATTACTATTAAACTTGTGCGGATCTCCTTACGAAGTATCAGACAGACAGAAAGACAGAGAAAGAGGTAAAGAATTCACATGAGATTTACCTTATCAAATACAATTTTCCAGCACACTGTTCATTGAAAAATCAAACCCACAGTTAAAATCATTGATAGATGTTCACATGTTGTGTGGTAAACGTGTATCTCCAACTGCTCTTGTGCATCTTTTGAAGGGCTGGGTCACGAGCGCGAGAACGGAATTGAATCGCCACTCTTTCCTGCGGAACGCGATTCACGATTCACTTCAGCGGAACGCGGAATAGTATCGCCAAACGATTCCCGATTCACTCCCCTGTCGCTGTCACCACCTTGTGGCTTGTTTAACCTACTGGTGAGTCGAGTCACGAGCGTAAAAACGGAACGGAACACTTAGTATGGCTCCCCTTATTTTACAAAAGATGGTATAGTCCAACCCCCCTATTAAAACAAAATGAATGGAGTCCAACCAATAGACAGAAGGAATTTTATGGAGACGAATGGTGGGGTTGGGGGGGGGGGAGGAATTTATGGGGGTCGCTAATTGAGGTCAGTTGATAGAGCAGCGCAACAAAGGGTGTGGGGCGGAGAGGATGGCGGAACAACAAGAGTGGGACTCGCACTCGCCAAGAGGCGTTGATATGACACTGTTCCGTTTCAGTCAGTGTTCCGTCACAGCTCCACGAGCGCTCGCGTACTCGCGATTCATTGAAGCCGACTGAATCGCGAATCGCCACTCTCAAATTTGACGAGCAGGATCCAGCCCTAATCTCTTGGACAAGATCAACCTTTGTGAATGTGGTCAGCTAGTGAGAAAGAGAAGTGAAGTACACTGGAGTCTGAAAGCTGATGCGACCTTTGACACTCTCTTGGTCATTTTTTTCCACCCTCCAACCACCCACTTTCTTCAGTGATTAGATGTAACCAACATAATTTTCACATTAGACACAGAGGCTATGAGTGCTTCCAGACACTGACTAGTTCATAGAAAGGCATTGGAAAGTTTTGAAAACTGAAAAAGTCAAGGGGGTAAGACGCGAGGATTACTTTTATCTTTACATAACCCGTCCCCTCTCTCTCTCTCTCACTCGGTAAACACTCTTTCACACCATAAAATAAACTCTCAAGATATTTGATTGATAAATATATCAACATATACCCATACATAAAATCTCTCCCTTCTCTCTCTCAGCGAATGTTCACGATGTTTGAAATATGTATACATATATGTATTATATATATATATATATACCCCTACACATAAAATCTCTCTCTCTCTCTCTCTCTCTCTCTCTCTCTTTCTCTCTCTCTCTCTCTCTCTCTCTCTCTCTCTCTCTCTCTCTCTCTCTCCCTCTCTCAGTGGATGTTCATATTTGAAATATGTATACATATATGTATTATATATATATATACCCACATATAAAATCTCTCTCTCTCTCTCAATGAATGTTCACGATACTTGAAATATGTATATATGTATAATATATATATATATATATATATATATATATATATACCCACACATAAAACCTCTCTCTCTCTCTCAGTGAATGTTCACAATACTTGAAATATGTATATATATGTATTATATATATATATATATATATATATATATATATATATATATATATATACCCACACATAAAACCTCTCTCTCTCTCTCAGTGAACATTCACAATATTTGAAATATGTATATACATATATATGTATTATATGTATATACCCACACATAAAATCTCTCTCTCTCTCTCTGTGAACGTTCACTTACGATAATTGAAATATGTATATATATGTATTATATATACCCACACATCATAACATCTCTCTCTCTCTCTCTCTCAGTGAGCCATCAGTCACCACACTCACAAGACAGACACACACGAAGACCTCTCCACACCTCAGAGTCAGAAACAAGCGAGGAGGAGGAGGAGGAGAAGGAGAAGAAGAGCAAACTTCCCTCCCTCCCCGACACGGAATATCAAAACGACAGCACCGTCAAGTCTTGAGCACTGTCCTCATCGCGGGAGCTGTTCACCAACACACATCTACCTTGGTCCTTGTTTCGAGCGAGCGCACAAACCACAACATAGTTTTCGCTCATTCGGATTTCTTATTGACCTGCTTCTCCGACTCTCGTCCGTAGGAAGAGCCTTTGTGGATCTCCGTGACCCCGATCATCCACCTCACCACCACAGAGGCTGAAACAACCAGAAAAACAAACAGTTGTCACAGAGTACACACTACACATTGCTGTCAACAAGTTAGTTATAGTAAGCGTTTTACGGCACTTGCAACACAATAAGGTCATATAAGTGCCGAAGATTAGAGGTGAACACAAACAGTTGTGACAGAGAACACATAACACACTGCTGCCAATTTTTCCTATGGGAGACGGACGGTTAAATCTGGAGGTCCCATCTCTTAAATAACCTAATAGTGTTCGACAGAGGTGTTAAATCCTTACACATACAATCTATGGTCTACTCGTTGATGTCACTTTTCCCACTATTTCATGCTTACGATACAAAAAAAACAACTTTTACTGAACTACGACACAAAGAAAAAAATGTACTGAAAACCAGAACTCTTACAACACAAAACGCACCTAAAACAATATCTATGACACAAAACGTATCCAAAACAAGAACTACTAAGACACAAAACATACCTAAAACAACAACCCCTACCACACAAAACATACCTCTAACCACACAAAACATACCTCTAAAACACAAAACATACCTCTAAACACACAAAACACACCTCTAAACACACAAAACATACCTCTAACCACACAAAACATACCTCTAACCACACAAAACATACCTCTAAACACACAAAACACACCTCTAAACACACAAAACACACCTCAAACAATACCAAACAAAACGTACCTAAACACACAGTACATACCTAAAACAATAACCCCTACAACAGTCAACTGCTGGAGCAGGGTTCCTGCGATGAAAATGCCGCCCAGATACTGGAAGAGGGGGACACACAGCACCACCGCCCAGAACAACCACATGACAAGGTCGTTGGTGCGGCGCGGGATGATCACCGAGTGGCCAGGGAACTTGCCCGTCTGGAGAAAACTGTCGTACAAGTCGTCCTGAGAAAGTAAACCAAACAGCCTCACGTTATCTCCTTCCTTTTGGTTCCTTTTCACAAAGAAATCATAACAGAATTAATTTACCTCCCAGAAAGATTTCAACCAAAAAAACAAATCTGCATTTATAATTTTTCAATGAATTGTTTTAGTTTTAGTAAAAGTTTCACAGAAATTGCAAAACAAATAGGTCATTTAAGTGCTGGAGATCAGAGGTCTTACTAGAGAGTAACATACAAAGAAAAGAAGAAGGAGAAATAAGGACGATAGTAGATGTTAGATAAGAAAGAAGGAGCAGCCACATCAGAGCACCTGCCAACCAACCACTGTTTTTTTTTCATCAGAACAAGCCGACACTTCAGAAAACACACTGACGGGAATCTTAGCTCTATTTTCTTTCTCAGTGACGATACAACCTGAAATCTTCCAGCACTCTCAGTTCAGTGGTTACAAATTTATTTTATCCAAATGTGAGGCATCGTGGTGAAATTGGGGGCTCGTCAAAATAATTAAATCAAAGAAATCGGTATGTCTTTGACCAATGGGTAATTTTTTTCTAATATTCTTTTTCTGGCTCAACACCTTTTATACCATTTAAAAACACATTTTTGTGTGGATTTTACTGAAAAACATTGATTAAAGGCACAAAAAAAGTAAAGTTTCAGTTTCCAAGGACTCTCAGGCTGTGGAAGTTACCAAACTTTGGCGGCCATTTTCTCGCTAATTTTACCCATGAACCCAGGCGACCCTGACCTCCTTCAACCACAAACATTTCAACTTCTATTCAACAGAGATGGATTTATTTTTCACCCAAAAGGAAAGACAATAAACAGGCTTTAAGATGATACCAATAACCGCATATGCCCAAAAATTGACGAGCGCCTCATTCCACTACGTCTGACACAAATGGTTCCCACGCTGGGAAAAAAACTAGGTCGTGACTGAGTTAACGACATGCTGCTGACCTTCCTCTTGAAGAGTTGTCGGAGCCACGCTGCACACTGCTCGTCTGTCTCCACGGGAACACTGTCTATGGGGATACGTCTGTCGATGGACAGAATTTCTGTTTTAGTACAGTAAGAGTTTTAGGGCACTTGCAACACAAATAAGTCCTATACTGCCGTAAACTGACAAGACACTTTTTTAAATTTTGGCAAGAAAATTTCGTATTTGCTAAATCAAAAGACTGATCCGTTACCCTACTTGTGTGAAAAAAATCAAAGTGAAAATGTGATCAGTTTTTTTTTAATAAATAAGAATTCAAATTTTGAAAGAACGCTACTTCTAAATGACAACGCTAAAAAAAAGCCCCTCTTTTCCTCGAAACTGCCGTGAATTTTTAAAAAAGACGTTTTGTATGCAGTCTAAGTGTCAAAGATTGGAGGAGTTCTAGAGAGTAACATACCAAGAAACGAACAAAATGATCCCACAACCTCACAGTAGTGTATAGAAGAGCTTAACGACTAGACCACAGCCGTCAATACTTACTCAGCACTCGGCAAACAAGAGCTTAACGACTAGACCCCCGCCGTCAATACTTACTCAGCAAACAAGAGCTTAACGACTAGACCACCGCCGTCAATACTTACTCAGCAAACAAGAGCTTAACGACTAGACCACCGCCGTCAATACTTACTCAGCAAACAAGAGTTTAACGACTAGACCACCGCCGTCAATACTTACTCAGCAAACAAGAGCTTAACGACTAGACCACCGCCGCCAATACTTACTCAGCACACAAGAGCTCAACGACTAGACCACTGCCGCCAATACTTACTCAGCGTGGAAGTGAGCCAGCAGAGGCCGCCCGCTGACGACATTCATCAAGGTCGGGGCCGGCCCATCTCTCGGGAAGCCGACGGTGCAGTTGAGAATGGTGGGAACTGAAACAACCAAGAGTGACGTATCTTTAGTTTTAGTAAGAGTTTTACGGCACTTGCAACGCAATATGGTCATATAAGTGTCAAAGATTAGAGGTGTTACAAGAGAGTAAGAAACACAAAAAAGGAGGAGGGGAGATAAGGAGGATACATGTTTGATAGGAAAGAAGGAGCAAACCACAAATAGCACCCAACAACCACCCACAAGTATGAGATGGGTAAGGTAAGGTAATATATGGTAAGATGAGATAAGAAAATAAAATAAGATGAGATAAGATAAGTCAAGATATACACTTTATTGATCAACGAGGGAAATTTCGGGTGGATATACCAGAAGAGAATAATGAGGACCCCATAACCCTAACCCTAATTATCCCACAGAAATTAGCAGTGAGGATCCCTAAAACCCTAATCCCAGCCTGTAATATTACCCAATTAACCCACAGAACAGATCCATGAGGATTCATAAACCTTACCCTAACCCTGATCATAACCCCAAACTCTAACATAACCCTATTTATCCCACAGAAATGAGCAGTGCAGACTCCTAAAACCCTCAGCCTAATCTCAAACATAACCCCATTTATCCAACAGAAAAGAACACCACCCCAACCACTAACATAACCCTGACCCTGTACATCCCACAGAAGAGACCAGTGAGAACCCCTATACTCTAAAACCCTGACCCCTAACCTTCACCATAACCCTAACCTCAAACATAACCCCATGTACCCCAGAGAAAAGACCAGTGAGAACCCCTATGCTCTAAACCTAACCCTAACCCTGACCATAACCCTAACCTCTACCATAAGCCCATGTACCCCAGAGAAGAGCACAGGCAGGACTCACAGTGCCCGCGCAGGCCGTGCATGGAGACGATGAATCCCTTGGGCCGGGGGAGCAGGACGTGCTTGAGCTCGGGGTACCCCTTGGCCCGACACACCTCCAGGCTGGCCCGGTGCTTCTCCTCCGTGAACCGCGTGCCTTCCGGAAACAACAGCAGCTGCGGGAGATTTGGTTTAATATCATTAAGTTTTTGTAAGAGTTTTACAAAGAACTTGCAACAGTTTTTGTAGGTCATACAAGTGCCAAAAATTTGTGGTATTACTAGAAAGTAACATACTAAACAAAAGAATGGAGAGATATGAACGACAGATATTTTGTTTTATGTAAAGTTTTACTACTAGAGAGTAACATACAGAGAAAAGAAGGAGGAGAGATAAGGACGATAGATGTTCGATAGGAAAAGAGAACAACACACCAGAGCACCCACTAACCACCCCTGAGGAGACTGTGACATGCTAACACAAGATAGACTGTGACTCTCTTTCTCCGTTTTTTAGTTTTAGCAAGAGTTTTACGGCACATGCAACACAATAAGGTCATATAAGTGCCGAAGAATAGATGTGTTACAAGAGAGTAACATGCACAAAAAAGGAGGAGAGATAAGGACGACAGATGCTTGATTGGAAAGAAGGAGCAAACCACACCAGAGCACCCGCCAACCACCTGCTTTTTTGTTACAGCACTTGCAACACATATAAGTGCCAAAGGTTAGAGGTGTAGCTGACATTTGAATGAATTTAAGGATTTCATCTCTCTACTAGGCAAAGCACTCCAGATCTCAGAGCCTTAATATTCAAATAAACTTTCACCCATCATTGTCAGTTTCATAGACGGTAGAAGAAATTTCTTTTTGTCAGCTGATGACCTTAGACTGCAAGTAGGAGTGTACAGTTTAAACAGATTTGACAAATATGATGGCGCATTATCATTCAAGCATTTGTGACATAGAGTGGCCAACTTGTACACAATTCTTTCCTCAACAGGAAGCCACGGCAATGTCCGTAAAAGAGGTGCGGCAGAGTCTCGCTTTCTTTTCCATAAAACTTAACGTGCAACATTGTTTTGGACAGTTTGAAGTCTTTTCACTTTCTCCAGCAATATTCCTGATAACAAGGAGTTACAATAATCAACTCTTGATAAATCTAAGCTAGTTACTAATAAAGCAGTATACTTAGTACTGATTGGACGACATATTTTACTGATTTTTAAAAATTTCTACATTTGTTGAAAGAAGAATCAAACTAGTTAATAAAATGGTGTTTAAATAAATGACATGTCACTACCTCAGTGCTTTCCTGTCCTATCTCTATTTTTTTAAACATTGAAAATGTGACTTCTTCTTAAGCTCACTCTTTGTTATGAACTGTTTTCACTGTTATTAAAAATGGAGAAAGGACAAGAAAGCACCGAGGTCGCAATGTGCAGAGATGTTTACCGTGACATAATAGCCCTCCGGGTAGTCCGTGGCCTGCCTGAGGTCTGTCTCGATGATCTTCTTGTCGTGTTCCCACTGACGTTTGAGGAAGATGCTCTCCGTGAAGTACCAGGCCCAGCCTATCAGGGGCACGTACTTCAGGAACTGCTTGCCGTAGATCTTGGTATTCTACACCAGAAGTTGAGTTTTGGAGTTTAGTTTTGGAGTTTTAGTAAGAGTTTTTACGGCACTTACAACACAATAAGGTCATATAAGTGGCGAAGAATAGATGTGTTACAAGAGAGTAAAATATTTTAAAAAGGAGGAGGAGGAGAGATAAGGATGACAAATGTTTGATAGGAAAGGAGCAAGCCACACCAAAGCACCCGCCAACCACCCACCTTTGTGAGTTTGAGTAGAGTGCATCGAAGCAATAAAGGTCACCTAGTGCAGGGAAGAAGCAAAACAGAAAGAGACAGACAGAAAGAACAGAGGAAAAGAAAAGAAGTAAGACCTACTACCAGCGATGCCCTCTAATCATCTATTCTGCTTACAGAAGAAATAGGAAGAGACTGCACACAAGAGTGTGTCAGCGTACAACAGCATGAGTGTGTGTGTGTGTGTGTGTTTGTTGAAGAGTGTTTGTTTTTTGTTTTAGTAAGGTTTTACGGCGCTCACAACTGCATAAGGTCACATGAGCGCCAAGGGTTGGATGTCAACAGGGAAGTCCGAACGGGGAATCGGGCTTATTCTGCTCACCTCTCTAGTCTCAACAGAACAAAGTCTGCTTCGACTATCAAGGCACCCCGGTAATAGCGGGTCACAAGAGAGTGACAAACATACAAAAGAAGTAGAGGAAAAATGACAATAGTAAAGATGAAGAAAGTAAAAGCAGCAGTTCCCCTTATGTTGTTCCGGCACAGTAAGAGCATGACATTGATAAATCAGCCCATTAACAATTCTACTGTGTATAAGAACATATTAATATCCCCACTTTGGGAATGGCCTAAAGATGCTTCAGTCAGTACCACTGCCCTGAGGGGGGTGGGGGAAGTGTGCCTGTGTGGAAGGAGGGGTTCTGCACATAACACATATGCATGGCATCGTAGTGAAATCAAGCATTCGTCAAAATAATGAAATCAAAGCGAAATTTTTCCGCCAATTAGGCAATTTTTCCATTCGTCAAAATATTGAATTATTGCAATCGAAACGAAATTTTCCACCAATTTTTCATCATGTTTTTGTTTTGTTTTGGTTCAGTACCTTTTCTATCCATTTAAAAACATACCTCTTTGCGAATTGGGCTGAAAATGTTGATCAAAGGCACAGAACATACATTTGCAGTTCCAAGTGACACACAAGCTTTGGAAGTGATCAAATTTTTAGCAGCCATTTTCTCCCAAATTTTCCCTCTGACACCAGAAAACCCCCACCTCCTTCAATTGAAAATATCACAATTTCTATTGAAGATTGAGGGGCATTTTTTCTCATCAAAGGCCAGAGAAATAAACAGGCTTTAGATGTTACCAATAATTCCATCCACCCAAAAGTTCACAAGCGTCTGATTCCACCATGATGGCCTATATATACATATATCTATATATACATACACATAGAGAGAGGGGAGGAGGGAGGGAGGGAGGGAGGGAGGGAGAAAGAAAGAGAGAGAGAGGCAGAGGGAATGAGGGAGGGAGAGAGAGAGAGAGAGAGAGGGAGAGAGAGAGAGAGAGAGAGAGAGAGAGAGAGAGAGAGAGAGAGAGAGAGAAAGAGAGAGAGAAAGAGAGAGAGAACTTACCCCCAACATCTGGAACCTCTCAGCCAGGATCCAGGCCATGAGCCAGTCTATGTCGTACTTGTGGTTCATGATGGTCAGCACATGCTCCTTGCCCACGTGCCGCACGTCCTCCTCCTTGGCGTACAGGATCACCTCTGTGCCCGACCACCACTGCGCCAGGAAGGTGAACTCTGCCAAGGAAAAAAATTATATATATATAATATGTATAATTTAATGTAATGTAGATGTTTTTACACCCCCATTAACGCAATTTAGATAATTTAAGAGGTGGGTTGTTTTTTTTGTTTTAGTAAGAGTTTTTACAGCACTTGCAACTCAATATGGTCATATAAGTGCCAAAGAATAGATGGGTTAAAAGACTCCCCACTCAGAAATTGAACTCAGGTCTTCTGGACGCAACAGCAAAGTCAGCAAAGAGCCTTACCACTACACCACAGACGCTGGTACTCATTTATCATCTTGGTAGTAAAAAAGAAAAGGAAAAAAAGAAAGAAAGAAAGAAAGAAAGAATGAAAGAAAGAATGAAAGAAAGAATGAAAGAAAGAAAGAATGAAAGAAAGAAAGAAAGAAAGAAAGAAAGAATGAAAGAAAGAAAGAAAGAAAGAAAGAAAGAAAAGAAAGAAAGAAAGAAAGAAAGAAAGAAAGAAAAAGAACAAACGCTGCACTGTCCACAAATGCATGCTGATACAAAAGCGGGTCATGCAGACTATTATCAGAACAAAGATAGGCTAAGTAAACAATGTAATCACACACACACACACACACACACACACACACACACACACACACACACACACACACACACACACACACAGACTTAATCCCGTTGTATTGTGCTATACAAACATCAAGGCTGACAGTACGTGCAAGCCTCGTACACAACTTAATAAATGCTGTGTTGACACATATTTCCTACCCACCACAATGCCACCCCCCCCCCCCCCTCGCCCTAGCCCACTCATGTCATGTATATGCAGAAGAAACTAGAAGGCCTTTCCGATAGAAACAATTTAAAAACGTTCAACTTGTAGACATCAGTGTTTGACATGTTATAATATACAGTCATTTCTGTTTTTAGACAAAAGAGATATGTATGGATTGTTTGGTCAGAACACAATGTATACTGTTTCTATTGCTACTGTACTAAACTTGAAAAAAGCTCAGAGCCTGTCTTCTTTCATAGGGGTTGTCACATTATATTATTATTATTATTATTAATATTATGATTATTGTTATTATATTATTATTATTATTATTATTATTATTATTATTGTTATTATTATTATTATTATTATTATTATTATTATTATTATTATATCATTATCATTATTACATCATTATCATGTATGAAATGCTATGGTGAGTGTTCATCTTAAGGAGCACAAGGGGAACCAACTGTACTTTTCAAAACACAAATAAACAAATTGCCTTCAGCTCACAAATGGCCACTCATTGACTGAAGTTATTGATTACCATCATGTCATCATGTGATGACCACCGGGTCTCAAGAGCCAAAGGTCACGTGTTTGTTACACATAATGCCCTGCAGAGTACCGCCATGTTGGCAATTTTATTAGAGTGGAATTAATCATGAGTAATAAATTGCTAGGGAGTAGTTTTCATTACAATTCTTCTGCATTGGACATTTACTGCATCGTGACTCAGTCTGACTCCGTCCCTTCCACAAAGACATATAAATGCTAATTGTGACCTTCCCGACCAAAGTACAACAGCCTTTGCTCTCACTGAGCTAGACATTGCAATATAAACACAGATCAATCTAACTATGTAGCTACGATGACATATATATATATATATATATTATTATATATATATATTTATTTATATGTCAGGACTGACCATATATAAAAGAATTCAACTACACTCGAAGACCGTCAGTAGAAAATCGCAAGACGAGTAAAAAATAAAACTTGTTCACTTTTCTGCACCACATATTTTAAAACAAATTAACACAGACAGTTCAGTGAACCCTTGGACTTTGAAATTCCAATTCAAACAATGCTTAATGAATCAAGCAAAGACTACCACTGCTAACCTAACCCTCCGCCTACAAATAAAACAGCTTTGCCCAGCTTGCCTTCCACATTTTTTTGTATATATATATATATATATATATATATATATATATATATATATATATATATATATATATATATATATATATATTCATCAAGTACAAAATAAAACACAATCAAATAGGGGCAGATTCTATGTGTATGGTAACCCAAGGCTGAAAGTCATGAAGATACAGGTTTACTGACTACAACTTCAGATTTTTTTGAACACCAAGAATAGAAAACTCTCCATATGATATTGTTGCAAATTCAATTTAAGAGAACAGCTTGAGTAAGAACAAAGACACAGAAGTTAACATCTCTTGGTGAACAATACAAGTAACTGACACACAGACAGATAGATAGATAGATAGATAGATAGATAGATAGATAGATAGATAGTGCCACCTTCGAGGGCTATGAACAGTTCTGCAGATTCCATACAACCAGATACAATAGAGAAGCATATTGACACAATAACCATCATCTAGTCCAGAGAGAGGGTAAAAGACAGACAGACAGAAACAACAGACAAAACAAAAACAAGATTTATATATGTTCCAACTCAAAGGACATAGTATAGACGAAGCACAATTCACAGAACCTGAACACAGACAATTCACAGAACATAAATACAGACAATTCTCAGAACATAAATACAGACATTTCACAGAACAGACAAATTCACAGAACAAGTACTAATACAACTTACAGAAACATGAACATACGCATGTAACAAATTACAGAATATTCATAAAAATAGCGTGAACTTTTGACTTACGTGACCAGTGAGCGTAAGCTAGATGGACATTGACTTTCCTATAGAGGTGACGATTGAAGGGCCAAATGACACACGAGCACAGCATGAGAAACGTCACAATAAGGCCGGACACGACAAAGATGTAACCAATGACCAGCTGAACCACCAGCAGGGACTTGAACTGTTGTATCAGCCCCATTTCCAGCACAGGGCACCCGCCGACGGCCGCTTACTCACTTACGGGTCTGGAATCAAAGGGAACAACTCCAGTAAGAACAAAGACATGGAAACTAACGATGACGTCAAAGTTGACGATTAAGTTGGTTGAGGCTCTAGAAGAGCCTGTTCATCTATCTGGTAAATGGCTGACTATGCATTGTGCAGGCTAGGCTAATCAGTCTTGGCAAGTGGGGTTGTAGATCGTCAGGTAGATCCTTCCAGTATTCATAAATTATAACATTTCCTGGTAAAAATACAGGCCACAAATAATTTATGCATCTTCACTAACATAGACACAAGAAGGTAAAAATATGAGGCATCGCAGTGAAACCCGGCCCTCGTCAAAATAATGAAATCAAAGAGACCGGCATTTTTCTGCTGGGCCTGCAGGACCTACAGGGTATTACTGAATTTTATCAAAGGTAACTTATCACATCCATCATCTATCCCCAACAAAAGACATTTTTATCTTAAACTCTAACGGTGAACAATAGTTTCTGTTGCCATAAAAAACACATGCAAGTCGGATTTTGTAAGTCTTCACACTTTTACTTTATCTCGGAAAATCGAGAGATTTATTTTACACTCAAGTATAGTACAGTAGTGTATAGTTTCCATCTCACAAAAATTTTTTAATCACTTAATAAAACACTTTGCCATCACAAGGCATATATAGTAAAAACCCTTGCCATCAAAGGCAAATAAAGCATTTTGGGGAAAATCCAAAGAAACTGGGAGGCCAACATCGCCGTTCGGCGAGATGTGACGGCAAAGTGTTAAATTAAAATATTTTAAAGTCTCAAGCAGAAATCTACCAGAAAGAAATTCTGTTTGAAATTATTCATCTTTTAAAGATGATGAAAATCTGTCTCACCCAAAAGATGGCCTACAGACTCAAGCACACACTACCTTTACCCTTTCGCATACACCAAATGTGTGTACATGATGCCTCCGAGTGAGGTAGGGTGTACAAATTTTCCTAAAGATCTCAGCCAAGGGAAGGTTTTACAGTGTAGGGTAGACAGAAAACTTTCATCCATCCTGACCTGAACTGCCTCTGTACATATGGCATATTTTTCCAAATATATTATAATATATTTCATTATAATGCTGGCTTTCAAGTGCACAGTAGGCCTACTGCATTTTAATTCTACAACGTGACAAGAATATATTCATATAAATAAATTATACGAAGGGCGGCCCTCTATTTCTCCGAACGCTCGGGAAAATAAACTTGAACTCAATCTCTCTGAACGGTTTCCGTTCTCGAGAATTTTTGGCTATTTGCGAATTTGCATGTGTGTGTGTTTGTGTGTGTGTGTGTGTGCCGTGTGAGTGTGCATGTGTGTGTGTGTGCCGTGTGAGTGTGCGTGTGTGTGTTTGTGAATGTTGTATGTGTGTGTGTGTGTTTGTGTGTGTGTGTACCTTTTGAAGGAATTTTCAAATGAAGTACAATGTATAGTAATAATCCGGGAATGTTGCCCCAACTACAATTAAAGTATCTGAATATTCAGAAACAAGGCTAAATTTTTAGTTCTACAAATGTAGCTCTAGAAATTGAATTCGATGCAAAAAAAATACTTCTACTTTCCAGTCCTCAAAGAATGGCAGAATGAAAGGTGACGCCGAACTCTCGCAAATAACCAACAAAACTCGAGAATGGAAAGCGTTCGGAGAAATAGAGTTGAAAGTTTATTATCCCGAGTGTTCGGAGAAATAGTCACTTCGTTAGAAAGTGCGAGACAAATATTGTTCAATTGTTCATTCTGATTTATCATGCTTTCATGAAGCACTGCATTCTCATTGTCTTTGTCCTTGACTTAATGATGAACACACAACAACAGTGAGACACCATCATTTGTCCATTTTTGCAACAAAAACAAAGACAATTTATGGACTGCAATCTCTCTGCTACTTGGTGGGCTTGGGCACATCATTCAATGAAAGCAATGACACTAATGACACTAACCTCTCCCTCAACATAATATAAAGTGAATGTATGGATTTAGAACTGCATAGATCGACATACTAGATCTAGATATATATAGATTAGATCTACACACTCAGTGCAAGTAAGTGTGTGTAACAAGTGACAGTGACACACACAACAGTACACCAACAGTTTCAGTTTCAACTTGACTCAGACAACACACATACTTGACATACAATAATTCACACAAAAATACAACACGACGAATGAGTTGAATGAGCTCACACTGTTTAAAATGTTTTGAAACATCTAATTCTCTTGCCTTAGTAAAATGTGCCAACTCCTTGCAGCAAGACAATGCTAAAAGTGAGGTCTTTTCCACAACGAGACAATGAACAGATCTATCCAAGGGGACAATGATGATGATTCGGGGTTGTGTTGTGATCAGACGTCAAGCGTCGCGAATGGGTAGCCTACCTTTAACCTTTGACCCTACATAAGGTGATCAGCGGAAGCTGAAGGATTCAAGTCGTAATATAGGAATATAGGCCTACAAAATGAATCACAGGTTGCGGGTTAGCATAAGTTTTCCTTAAAACATTTTTTAAAAATTCGTGCCACAACGTACTTTGATCTAGATCTAGATCTAATATGAATGTATTGAAAGGAACAATTTCTACACTTTTACGACAACATAAATATTAACCCTCATGATGCCATAGCCTAGTTACATCAACTCTCCCAGCTGTTATTCTCCATCTCTGTTTAACAATAGAGTAATGATTATTCCCTTATTATGCTCCTATGCCTAGGGTGTGGTTTTGTCCTTGGGTCAGTCGATACACTTTGTTTGGGTTTTGTTTTCTTCTTTTTTTTTGGTTAGTGTCTGCAAAGTCACTATAGATTCGTAATAATTCTACTATCAATATACAATGTATATATATATAGGACTACTCGGTTCAGATTATCGAAGAATGGAAATGAGATGAGCTTAACACCCTTTTTAAATAATATTACTTTCAAACACTATGGGAGGTAGCCTACAAGGCCTCCGAATTTGACATAATCTGCTGGAGAGCCTATATATAACATAGACCTATTGATAGGCTGCCGTATCCCCACAACTCTAACTGCAGCATTTTTTAATACTGGTCCCTGTACAAATTCCTGTGCAATTTGCCCTTTCCATCGATCTATAGGCCTATATATCACTTCCAAGTCATCATGCGTGCTTACCTAGACTATTTTAAAAGCCTTTGAATAGGCCTAATCAATGAAGCATAAATACACAGACTGTATATATCGCTTCTTTGTTTCAATCTTCACCTTTCTACAAAGGGCGATACACAAGGTTAGATCGAACTATATTATAATTGTCAGGGACATATAATTATAGACAAAATACAGCGAGTCGAGATAATAATAATAGTATAGCCTGGTGAAGATTTTCATCAAAAGTGGACTGGCGAGTGTTAAAAAAAGGGAAAGCATTTTAAAACATTTCAATTGGGCTTTATACCTACTGTATTACCTGTCCTGGGCAACATCGTCATTGCACACTGGACAGTTAGTGCTCATCAGTTCCCCCCAGCACCAAAGCCCGCAAGGTATCGATACTGATTGTTCCGGTGGCTGTCTGATTATGGCGACGTCTTTCCTTTCCAGATAATTCCTTTCCCTCTCTTTCCCCATTTTCCGCATCCTAATGATTGCGTGGTGTTCTGCTGTCTCCCCGTCTTCCTCATCCCGCAACTTTTTCTCTAGGGTCTTCGCAACACTTCTCCTTTGTCAAATTTCACCTCACCATCAACCACGGCACTGCTTGCCAGCCTATCAGCCTCCTTATTGCCCTTCACTCCAGATTGCCCAGGACAGAATATCCACGTGATGGCTCTAAGTGGTGAGTGTTGTATTGGGTTCATCCATTCACTCCGAAGAAGCCCTTTCTCAACCCTTCACAGGATGCTCTGGGAGTCTATGACAATAATGCGATGGTAGTTCTTGGTCTTGTATTTTGAAGCCAGCCAAGCGCTCAATTGTTACGGACTCAAGCTCCATTTTCATACTTGAAGTTGTTCTTTCTATGGTCCTGAAATGCTATGAACCTTTTTGCTCCCACTGTACACCACAAAACCCCCATCCACTTCTCTCACCCCTCCTGGCCGATCCATCCGTAAGATCACTGGGTCCTCTGGCTTGGAATGCTCCTCAATTAACTGTCGTATATCTTTGTCGTTAATGACAGCAGCACATTCCCGTCTTTCACGACCTATAGTGATGTGAACGTTGACCAGGCTTCTGCAATCGGGGCTTAGTTCAAGCCATTCCTTTCCACAGCATATTTCATTGATGCCACAAACTTTCCTCAAGGAGTCTTCAACTTCTGCCGTCCATGAGCTGCCCTGTTTGATCCTGCTTCCTTTGATGCTGCCCAGGTTGTCATGCAAAGGGTGCCTCGGGTCTCCCAAAACATTCAAGTACAGCTTTGCTTGTGCCACCTTATGCCTCACTCTGACGCTGGCCAGGTCCAGGATGTATCTCATACAGACAACATGGGTGTCCTTTGTGCAACCCAGAACGGCCCTCATAGCTGCATTCTGTACTCTCTCCAACCTGTCTATCTGGGTCTTGGACAGGGAGAGGGTGCACAGACCATAGTCTATGACGGACAAAACCACCAGCTGCATTAGAAGAAAAAGAACTCTCTGTTGAATTCCTGCTGAAGCCAAGGTCTTCACTACATTGATGCCCTTCTGAACCGTGACAGCAACATTGTCAATATGTGTTCGGAAAGAAAGTGTCCTGTCCAAAGTGATTCCCAGGTACTTCAACTCACCCTGTCTGTCTATGAGAAAGTGGTCAAACACAATTGGAGGCGTAGGATCTTTCACAATACGGTTGTTGAGTGAGCACCAGATGACCTGTGCTTTGTCTGGACTGATGACCGCATTGTATTCCTCACACCAATCTGCGACCTTGTTCAGCCCGTCCTGTAGCATCCGTCCAACCGCTAGCCTATCACGACCTTATCCGTAGACCATCACATCATCTGCAAAGGTTAGGATTCTTCCTGCTCCACTGACACCGATCCTGGCAATTTTGGAAGTATATAATATGTTAAACAGAACCGGTGATAAGGCTGATCCTTGTGGCAGTCCCGAGGCAATCACTACTGGGTCTGGTGGAGGACTTCAACGAGAGTCTGGCCAGAGGCAAGATCCCAGAGTAGTGACTACACAGCTACCCCATGCCTCTTCCTACACCAGGCAAAGACCACTCCAACATCAAGGGATACAGAATCATCACAATGCAGAACACGTATGGAAAGATCAGGGGAAAGATTGTGGCCAAAAGGTTGGCAAGTTACCTTGAGAGGAAATTGTGCTTAAAATTAGTGATCAAATATACCATGCCAGCCAGCATGAATTTAAGTGGCGGCCCAAAACCCATTTGATGTCGGACAAAGTTAATGTCCGCTCTCGGCCCGCTTTTACTGCCTTATCTTTTCCTTTTAAAAAATAATTCATGCAGCTTTTTGTTTTCGAGCTCCCTTTCCCCCCATTTACCTTTCTGGTTTAGAATGCATTTATTTTTATCTTTTGCAATTATCAGTTTAACCCTTTTGCTTCATTATTTTCTTCTCCTTTATTTCACTATTTAAAGCGCTGCATTTGTCCACATTTAACTTTGACTTCCTTCTCCAATCTGTTAGCTTTAATGTCCTGGGTTATCTATTTTCTATACCGAGTAGGCTAATTGATATAATATTAAATTATTAAAGAATAGCGTGTGATCGAAGCAAAGATTCTCCACTACCTGGGCTTGCTATTCCCAGACAGCTTGGGATAGCGGTAGCCTAGCTTAGTCCTATTTCCAACAGTTTGGGAATATCGACAACCTTTGGAAAAAAACAATACCCGGAACTTTGCCCGGAAGAAATACGAAAACAATTTTGACTGCAGAAACAAACAGGCTCCTCGGGCACTTCTCTAACACATACTCTGAGCTGTCAGAATCCTTGCCATGATGATTGCCTTTCACTGAAGTTGACGTAACCAGCTTTTATACTAAAATGGTTCGTAGTCCTTTATTTTATTCACTCAGTTGTGTAACAGTTAGCCTAGCATGCTCACCGAGATCACCTCTTCTCACTCTCGAGGCTCTAGGGTTGGCTAACTCGGAACTGTGTAAATTGTAAGCTCAGCTGGTGATTTGCCCTGGGCCTGGGTTTTTGTTACGATTAACTGTCTATATAATGATAATATAACGTGTTCCGCCAACCCAAAATAACTTGTTATAATTAGAATCTAGGGTTTGTGTAGGTTTTTTTTTTCCCGTCGTATGTTTCAGACATGCCATAGCCTAGAGAAACTCTTCATCAGGACACCACCCACCCCCACCCACCGTGTGAAGTGTTGTTCATAATTTGAAGAGCTCAGCTGATAATTTGGAAGTCTATTTTTTTTCCAAATTTTTAAGGGAGTAGGGATGACTTCATCATTGTTCATTTTGGTAAATTTTTACTTCTCCCGTGCACAGATGCACTGCTTTGAAGGTTAAACTGTTAGTATTTTATATATTAAACTAATTCGCTACGTCACGTATTATTTTCGGCTTGTGGACGAATTTTTTTTCGGGAGGGCGAATGATATGATGACTAGATCTAGTGGGCAGGTAAAAGGTCTTAGGGGCCACAAATTGAAATAAATGTCAACGTATTATATACCAATATTTTCAATGGTTTGTAGAATACATCTGTAATGTTTATTTTATATCATTTTCAACTTTGGTTCCTGTAAGAGACGATTATGATGATTATGCAACACAATTTTGATTGGAAGCGGATGAAATTTGAAAATAAAAAATTAATAATCTTTGGTGAAACTCAAAAAACATGTTTGCACCCAGTCAAATGATACATCAAAATAACCATAAATGAATATATAGAACTGGAAAATATTGAAAAGTTTGCAGTTATTACCTCTCTACATTCCATAATATTTGTACATTTTGAACATAACATCCGATTTTGAAAAAAAATATTTTGTTATAATCTTGAAAAACGATCACAAACAGAAAAAAAAAACCCACTCGTATCTTATGGAATTATTCAGAATTGCATTTGGAATAAACCTATACTCATGTCTTGAGTGGCACTTTTTTGTGTAATTTCATCAAAAAGTAGTGATTTTGGGGAGAAAAATATATTTTGACAATTTAGATCTAGATCTAGACTCTAGACCTAGAGTCTAGATCTAGCACTCAAATATATTGATTTCTCAAATAACAGTCACAGTGCATTGGCAATATATGAGTCCGATCGTATCAATATTTTATTAAAAAAGAGTCCTACATTTCTTTAGTGGGCAAAATAATGATAGATTTTGTTGTGTAAAATTACTAAGACTGGTGTCCGGGCTATAATTTTGGCATCGTGATTAAACAAAGTCGAATAAACTACGAAATCGCGTTTCAAAACTGAATCTACATTTCCGATTTTCAGTGGAAATGCTTGACCTGGAAGTCAACATTATATTATGACCTTTATTTTAACATGGAATGTGGATTGGAATAGAATCTAAGCTAAAATTGAAGATCGGTTGTTGAGCCTCCGGTGGCGGCTTAGCGTACTGACGGCACTTTAGCCGCGCCGCCCCCCACGGCTCGACGTAGCGAATGAGTTAAATTTGCAGCAGATCACTCATTATCAGGGGCAAAGGCTGACTTGTTTGACAGGGTAATCACAGTGAGAATTTATGCTGTATGCATAGTTCAACTGCTAAAATAATCGGGAAAATATCTCGTTAAATATTTATTCCAACAAACTTTAAATCTATCAGGAGATGTGAATACACAAACACAAAGCAAAGAAGCAGAGATGTCAGAACTACACATCATTTTTTTTGTAACACCAGCGAGTCTAAACTCTAGAACATGACAATATTAATTTTTTATTTCACATTTGTCTGTTTTTGTCTAGAGTTTCGCAGCCAGGAGCCGGTGTCATAATCGAGGTCACGATCTGATTATAGGACGGTAAAAAGTCGAAGAAAAAAACCAAGAACTCGCAGCAGTCAAGATATTATAGGAGTTAGTTCCGTGAGGTAGACTCGACCAGTGTAATATTTAGCTTACATAATCAGCGCTTGTGACTGCTTATAACTGTGGCCTGAAAGGGGTGAACAGGGTATATGTGGCAATGAAACAGCTTTGAGTGCTATGTTCCCTTCAACTCTTTTGGTAGACTCTTCCAGCCTCACTTTAAGCTTACTTAATCAAAGTTTGCGACTGCTTACACACAATTTTTATTTAATTTGCTACAGATAAAAATTCATGCACAATATGGATGAAATTTAAAATGAACGAGAAAAGTACTAATAAATAGAGATACAATACATCTGAGCAAGAGACGGAAGTGACAGTAAATTGGGAGTTAGGAGAGGAACTGTACATGTAGGCTCCACTTTGTAAATCTGCCAGAGGCAGAATGGAGAGAGGGAGTGGGTGGTTGGTGGGTGGGGTCTCAGGTGTGGCTTGCTCCTTCTTTCCTATCTGACACCTATCGTCCTGATCTCTCCTCCTTTTTTATTTTGTTAGTCTCATGTAACACATCTAATCTTCGGCACTTATATGACCTTATAGTGTTGCAAGAGCCGTAAAACTCTTACTAAAACTAAAACAAGAGAGAGGGAAGATGGTGTTGGGACCAGGGAAAAGACTGGGGGAGGGGTTATGGGGAGCTGCCATCCTCACTAGAATAAAAACCTCCTGATATCCTTCATAGGGTATTGTGATGCTCAATTGAGATTCCTTAGTCTCTCTTAGATGAAGTTCTACTTTCTTAAGTTTCCTACACTACGTCTTGAATCAGATAAAAGAATCTTAAATGAGTGACGCCCCAAATGAGAAGATGGTAAATAAAAATGTGTGGCACCCCTTATGGTGCCTCCAACCTCTCTAGATAAAAACCTACTGATATCATTCATAGAGTATTGTGGTGCTCAATTGAGATTCCTCAGACTCCACAAGATCAAGTTCTACTTACTTGTAACTGCTTCTTAAGGTAGTTTTGTACACCATGTCTTGATTCAAATAAAAGAATCTCAAGTGAGTGACGCCCGAATGAGAAGATGGTGAAATGTGTGGAACCCCATAATTCCCACCAATGTGTACCTCTAGCTCTATTATTATATATATGTAGACTTGTAAGAGGCATTGATAAATTGTAGCCTGAGAGTCAAGCTGTTTTCTTTATCATATTTTAGAAATGGATCAGCAGGGCATTGTACATACAACTATATTCCATACACCATGTGTAGACTGAACTATATCAAAATTTCACAATGTGTACCTTTATTGTAGTAATTGAACTTTGATCAAGATCAATCCATTGCCAATTAAACTGAAAAGCAATGACTTTTTACTTCTGATACTGTTGTCATTTGTTTCAAATGTACTTTATCAGTCTTTTAATTTTACCATTTGACAAGCTCATTTTTTTATTCTACTAGTTGACACGCTTTAAAAAAAAAAAACTTTTTTGAGTTTTACTTGGTGGGTGTACATTGACTTTTTTTTGGTTGCTATTGGCACTTTTCAATATCTTCTCCAACTACAGGACTACCAATGTTAAGTTTGCCGAGTGACCATTGGTGTAAGTTGAATGTTCCTAGTTGTTTGAGTCTTTGTACCTTGCATCTTGGTCATATTTCAGAATTCGTTCTTCTTTCTTTTTTCTTGATGGAACTTTGGTGTGGGTTTTGGTGTATTACTGTAGTCTATTTTGTCCCGTCCTCTGGTTCTCAGTGTTACTGAACAATCGTTTGCTCCCATTTGTCCAGACCCCTTGTCACTGATGTCTCTGAGTAAGCTTTGGCTGTAAATGTAAACACATTATAAGTGTCATTAGCGCCAGTAGGTGAGAAATTCAGGAGTCCCGTTCAGCTCCCTAACAAGGAACTCTCTAGTCTGTATCTGAAAGCTAACCCCAAAAAAACCTCAAAGAGAAGCTGAAATAAAAGTCATATTATAAAATCTTAAGTTTAGTGAAAAATATCTAGGTGGGTACCATGTGGAGATTATACGTTTTTAGATTTTATGGGATTCGGTGTCTTACTTTGAAGTGAATAATTAGAGTAATAAAAGACACACTACACAGAGTCCACTTAAACTGAACATGGTTTAACCAAAAGAAAAGAACATCCCCATTTTTCCTCCCTCTATTTGAGCAACTGGCTAAACTGAAGAAAATCCAGCTGTCCTGCAGATTTTGTTTTAAAACGGACTCCACTGTATAGGAGACTGTGAGAAAAGTTTGTGCTGTACTGGAAAATGTGGTTTGAATTCTAAATTAATATTGAAACTTGATCAGAGTATTTGCTACAAAGCTTTTGTTTTGGAAAGCGGACGTCATTTTTGGCACCTTTTTTAATAGCGAGATAATTGCTCTCGAGCTATTTTAGTTTTCCTACTTTCTCAAATGAAAAGATCGTCTCTATGAATTAATTATCGTTAGTTTATCAAGCAAGAGAAAAAAATATCTGCCCAGATTTGCCTGTTGTTTGATTCAGAACTACCATACTAGTTTTGCGAGCTACATGTTTATACATATATAATAGATTTGTTTGTTTTGTAAGTATGCTTGCACGTTTATAAATAGCCCTAAAAATGAGCAAGGTGTTTGGGAGTCTTTTGTCAGTTATATTTGTTTCTGAACTTTTTCTATTTCCTTATTTTCATAGTTTCCTGTGTTATTCCTTTCGATTCTCCTCATTTTCCCAAGCAAAGATGGTTTATCGTTTATACTCCTAATTTAAGGTAAAAAAAAAAGATTACATTTCATTTTTTTTACTGTTGTACCTTTTTAGATGGAACTATCTACTGAGTGAATGACTATATGTATTTGTTGGTGTTGTATGCTTGAAATCAGTGTGCTAATTTGTTAGAAATAGTTGTCAATGATTGTGGTCTAATATTTCAAGTCCATGCAGTGTTATTTTCATTGGTTTCGTTGCATCTTGTAAGGTGATCTTGTTGTTCGTAATGGTTGTCTGACACTCTGCCTGTGTGTGTGTGTGTGTGTGTGTGTCTGTGTGTGTGTCTGTGTATGTGTGTGCGTTCTTGCGTGTGTGTGTGTGTGTCTCAAGTTGTTATTGGGGTTTCCTTTTGGATTTGTTGGCGTGAATTTAAAAACAGTGTGCGTTCTTGCACGCGCACACACGCACACATACACACACACACTGTCACACACACACATACACACACATACGCACCCACTGTCACACACACACATACGTGCACGCACACATACACTCACACTGTCACACACACTCACATACACGCGCACACACATACACACACATACACACACGTGCACACATTCACACACACACACACACACTCACACACACATGCATTCACACTCGCACTTACACACACACACACACACCACATACACACACACATACACACACACACACAAACACACGCACACTCACACATATATATACATACAGACATATTACGCCATGACAATCTAATAATGTTGTATTATAAGTTAATTTTACTCTTAAGGCTTTTTGTCACATGTAGCCAGGGTTGGATTTATTTGTCTTCATTAATTTGTACATAAAACGTATCTTTGTATACATATTCCTGAATCTGTGTATCTTCCTGTGTATATCACTATATCTGTGTGTTTCTGCGTTTATCTGTCATGTACACCTGTACACCTGTGTGCATATCTGTGTCCCTGTATATCTGTCCACACCTGTCAGCATATTATGTGGTGTGTATCTGTGTAGATCTATACATATGTGTATAGGCTATCTTTTTACTCGCTATGTAGTGTCTATCTGTGTTCATTTGTATTCATCTGTGTCTCTGTATATATTTGAGTATTCTGTGTATATTTGTGCATATTTTGCATAATGTGTATTTGAATGTCTATGTGTATATCTGTACATTCGCATCTATGTCTGTGCATATCTGTGTGTAATTGTGTATATGTCTGTGTATACATGTATGTGTGTGTGTGTATGTGTGTGTATGTGTGTGTGTGTGTGTGTGTG